GTTTTTCATAAGTGTATCATAACGTGAATAATCTGAAGGTCAGCTTCCGTCGTATGTCAAATTAGGCAGTGTATCTGTGTATGGTCTTCTGTTTGTCTTGCGCGAGGTCAAAAAATCTTCCGGATGAGCGATTTTATTATTTTTTTTTTTCGTGAAAAAAGGGCGGCAAGTTATGAATTGCCTAGGGGCGGCAAATATTTAAATCCGCCACTGGACGTAAGGCATATGGTAAAGCCTGTGGTCGTATTGATATCAGGAGCTTTTATTTGTAATCGAAAGTGCCAAAATTAGTTGAATTGGCCAAAGGCCTAACCGGCATTTTATCTTCTGGTTAAGCGTTGTAGTCCCCTAAGAGATTTTGGCAGATTCTAATAAAATGGCGCTTTTCTTTTAAGTCCAATTGAAATGCAGGAAGCAGCTAAATTCTTACGTCACCTTTCGACTAATTAAACCAAATGGGGAAGGATGCGATATCACTTTTGGAAATAGTAACGGTGGCGCAGAGTGCGTTGTTTTGTTTCCTTTGCAGAGTTTTGAGCCTTTTGATGTATGTTGGCCAAAATATGTACGAAAATTCTATTGAATATAATTGGATGAACAATTGCCTTATATGTACATTAGGATGGTCCCTAAATATAGAAAGCAAATTCTTACTATAGTCGAAGATATTACATATAAATTGTGGCCCCGATTGGAGTCGGTTAATGCCTGTGGCAAAGGGATCAAAGGTCAGATACCTCTATGGAGACTCAAACAATTAAAAATATTTTTTCATCTAACACCCAAAATCGATACCACTAAAGTCGAAGATATCACATACAAATTTTGGTCCAGATGGAGTCGGTTAAGACGTCTTCATAGGTTAATCCAAACTTTGACCCCCCGTGCTGAACATTTAGTTTAAAATGGGTTTCCGAAAATTTCGCCAGCGTTTTTAATGAGAATAACGAAAGGCTTATTGGACTATAGTCCCTTGATTTAGTAGTAGAGGCTTCATATTACGCTGTACTTTATAGTGTAAATTCCACGTGATTTATTTACATATATCGTTGTAAGTTCCGCACATCAGGTAATTGGACTGGAAGAAGACGCGGCGTGGCCATAAGACAAAATTTGTTAAGCCTTTTAAACCGTTAGTCAGACTTTTTACGGTAAAAATATTTTGAATCGGACACTTATGCATAAACCGTTATAAAATATAACTAAAACTCAGAAGAACATTTTTTACTTTGGGTGTAATGCTCCATTAATTTTTCTCACCTATATTTTTTAGTTCTTAGTACTAAATCACTGTTTTAAGGTTAATCCCAGATTATTTATTGATTCGACGCCCAATTTCAGTCTTTGATAGCTCTCATTGAATGCTGATTTTTGATAAAAAAAAAACTGCCTTCGTGTAAGAACATGCAAACGAAAATCAAACGCATAAATAGATCCTTCTGTTCATAAAAAAATCTGAAAATTTTGATATTTCATAACACGACATTCATCCAGCAAACGAGGGATTGTTACCTTTATTGCATTCAAGTTATATTTTTATAATGAAATATAATCATTTCAAATTTTCTGACCATCATAAAAAAAGCCATAACACAATAATAACAATAATAAAATAAAACAAACACATAGACATAATGAAAAAAGACAAGCACATTGAAAAACACAAGCAGCGGAAACAAACAACAAAACAAGAAAATAAACAAAATGCAACCCAAACAAAAATACTAAAAATTTACCGTTTGTTTTGCAAATGAACCCCAAAAATGGAGATTTCCTGCCTGAAAACAAAAAAAGGATAAGATATATAGATAAATTAAAAAGTTTCAGAAACAACAGAAATATGTTTGTAGATTGATTAAAATTATAAAAATATATTATACAATAGAATGTAAAGAAAATTTATAGATTAGAAAATAGCGACAAAACATATGTACATAAATATGGATGTACACTGGTGGCAGAAATAATAGACTCGCCTTATTTTTTCAAGCTTTGGTTATATTCCTTTGGTTTATTTAATGTTTAATATTATTTTTATAAGGGTCTAGCAACGAACATCATATAAATCCGCATTTCAAACTGGGCAGTTTTATGCAAGTTTCTAGTGGCTATAAATACCGCTGATTTTTGGCATTTTTTTTCTTTGTCGTAGCTAGGCGTTGTTTGCTTCCATACAAAAAAAATGTCAAACATACTTTGTATGGGAAAAAAATTGCGCGACACCGTCCGCAAAAGAAATCAATAAAATTCATGCATAAAATTCTTGCACCTTAAAATTGAATGCGCTATAAAACTGCATACCAAAAATGTTGGTAAAAGTTCTGAATAAAAAGTTTGAAATTTTGGCGAAAATTTGTTGAGTTTCTGCCACCAGTGTAAAGGCTATAAGAGAAGAATAATAATTTTGCAAGTATTTATAGATACATATAGATACATGTACATTGTTCATACATACATAGCAACAATGAATTGAGTTGCTGCATTGACAAGACAATGTTAATAAAACTAAGCAGATACGGCTAACACAAAAGCTACACAGTTATAGGAATGCACATACATACATACTACATATATAATACATATACATACAAAGAAAAATGATTTTTTTTGCATCACTTTCGGCGCTGAAAAATACACAAAACTACAGATAACAAAATACATATGTACATATAAGGAAAAAGAGAAGAAACCCCGCAGATTTTTTCGTTGTTTTCCTGGTTAGCTGGTCTGACTCCAACTATACTCGTATTTAGTAATTTAACACGCCATTTTGGTAATACAAGCTCAGCGAAAAAAAAAAAATACTAATATATACATACGAATTTTAAATATTTACGTAGATCCATACATACGTATATACGCTATACTTATTTAAATAATGATAACTTTTACTTTTATTTTCACTTTCACTGCGCACCTTTACCATTTTGGTGAGGAAAAGAAACGCATCAGCGAGATGCTAAATGCCGTTGCGAGAAATGAAATACATACATATACGAGAAGTATGTACATAGGTAAGGGCTCTCTCTGGCAAAGCAACAAAAACAACAAACAATAATGAATGACCAAGCCAAAAGGTAAACCGAATTCGTGTAATTTATGGACCCAAATTCGATGTGCATATTTTTAGCACAACAACGACAACAAATGAAATTTGACCACAATCTACAAAAAAAAAAAACTGAAAAAAAATGACTCTTCATTTATGTCAGATATGTACATATTTGCTTTTTACGGTATCCATTTGTACTTGTAGTCATTTTTTTATTTGCCGTTCCAGATAGATATTCGTCACTTCAGGAGGAGACGAAAGAAGTAGCGAAAGTGGTAACCATGCGCAAAAATGGTGGCGATGATGCTTTAATCTTCTTTAACTCTACAGAATTGGCCGCTTTCATGTGCATACAGGCATCACTTCACAGCGGATTCACAAAATCTGTGCCGAAATTTAAATGTGTGCTCATGCGCAGACGAATGCGTCGATAAGTGATACGGTTTATATGCATGTGTGACTTATGCAAATAAATTTGTATGTCAAATGTAGGTCAGTTGCTGATTATTTGTAAATTGGGAACAATTTGTAGTTTTACATAAACAGCTCACTGCTTGTAAATAGGTGTAGGCCTGGAAAGGATATTCCATGGGCGGCGGACTCATCTTAGCTCCCGTTTGCCGATTTATTATTGTTGGAAGCAGTTAAAAACGATGTAGGTATAAGTCTTTGTATTCGTCTTAGTCTTAATCTTATCGTTAACCTTAGTCTTAGTCTTTGTATTAGTCTTAGTCTTACCCTTGGTCAAAATCCTAATCCTAGTGTTAGTCTTAGTCTTGGCTTTAGCCTTGCCCTTAGTTCGATAGTTCACGCTCAATATTAAACCGTTTACTGGACCTTGGTTCAAGATACCGGACCCCAGTAACACGTTCCCTGAAGGGATGTGATTGGAGAAAGGGCTGTTCTCAAGATTTTTCGGGTGTAATTGAGTTAATTAAGTCCTAGTCTCCCTAAGTCTTCGTTGTCACTTGCCGTGATAGCAAAGGGTGGATCCAAGTACTTCACTTATTCCAGTAAGGGTTAAGCTGCGGTGACAAAAAGCTAGGAAAACATTATATGAGAAACGACCCAGTTCTTTCCAGTGTAGTTTATGTAATCGTTATCGATATTTTACCGTTTTTAATTGTCCCGACGTTACACCTATCCGATACAGCTGCAGTACGGAGTGATCCCTTTTCGCGCTGCTTGCACTTTGATTGTCGAATCTTTCTTACCCAATTCCCAGCCTTTCTTTTGTAAATTAGAGACTTGCGTAAGCTTTTAATAACGAATCGTGGCACTTATTGACACACACCTATAGCAATATTTTTGAGCATATGATTATCATCCCATTTCGACCCATTTATTTAAACGAAATTTATGGCGCGATTTTCTCACGTTGTCGAGTGTTACAACTATGTATTATTTACCGACAATTCATTTTAAATAAAAGGTTTCGTAAGCAAAAAGAAATTAAGTATTGAAATATTGCTGGTGTCATTTTTAGAAACTTTCGCGCATTTAATCAAACAGAAAAACATGCAAATTTTCGTATCCGCCCATTTCCCATCTCTTCAATAGGAAGTACATACATATCCATTAGGCCGCCAACAAAAGATTCAGATTCAACCACACAACAACCGTACATATTTACATATTTGGCGTGTGTTCAAAATCACAATGGCCCGAAATTTCTGTATCAAACCAAGTAACAGTCACAACGCTGCGTTTGCGGTAATTTAAACCAAATTTTGCATGCAATTAAAAATAATTTGCATAATTTTGTGTGAATTTGGTGGCAGCCAAACCATTGCTGCCCTAAACAGCGCCAGCAGAAAGCAACCAAAAAGCCCAAAAATCAAATTTCGTTGGCGTTTTCACTTTCATTAGAAGCGTTCGAGTGGCACAACCGGTCAGTTGGCGGAAAAAAATGAAAAAAATAAAATAAAACAAAATGAATAAATAAAATATAAAAAGAGTCGCAGCACTGCGCGCATGCGTGTGCAGTTAACAAAGCGGCGACTACTCAATTCCGCTGGGACTACGACAACCCAGAGTCTGATGAGTTGTTGTTAATGATGTTCGGATGAAGGCGCTGCAGTCGCCACGGCGGTTAAAAAATAATCGAATTGAAAATGGGGCAGCGTTGAAAGAGGGACGGACATACAGAAAGTAGAAAAAAGTCAACAAGTAATCATTCCACTAAATAAATCAAAATTGTAATTTATTTAAATCTTTTAGATTGGCATTTTGGAATTACCATAAAACATTTTGGTGTACGACTCGCTACTTATGTATTTTTGTATGTGTGCAAGTGTGTAAGTATATGCATATTCATGAGTTATTCCACACTTTTTTTTTTTGTGCATACATATGTATGTATTTGTGTATTGGCATACTTATACAAATATATATCATAAGTAGATATGGATACATACACACACACATATATTAGTCTCCATAAATGTTTACAGCGCTAATATAAAAATATATTTGTTAGTAAATGTGTGTATGTGTATGTTTGCACGTCTGTGTGTGTGTATTAAGTAGGTATTATGTATGCATGCATGTATTTAGTAACTGTATTATTATGTTTTATGTTTCATATTATTTTACTTTTGATAACTTTTATGCAGCTAGTCTGCTTGCCTACACAAAAGCAACTGTTTAGCACTGATATATGGGATTTTACTGGACCGTAGCAATAATGCGGAATTAAACTTTCACTTTTTTCATGTTTTTCACATTTATTTTTTTTTCTTTACTTCTACTTATGGTCTTTTTTGGGTCTGTTAATGAATGTGTGGTTGTGTAAAAAAAAAATATATATATATTTTATTTCTCACTTACGTAATATGGAAAAGAAAGGAAAAGTGTTTAAAAATCTGCTTAACGGCTTCTGTTGGTTTGACGAAATTGATGGCAAACAAAAAAAAAGGTTACTTGGATAGAGTCTAGTAAACAGAGATGTAAACCGGTTAGGAAATGCCTTGCACTGATTCTTAAGTAACTATCAGTGATGCTGCAGTAGCTGAAGTCCCAAGGAGATCTTGAATGCCACTTGGTTTAGCCAGCAAGAGATGAATTAAGGGGTCGCTAGTAGCAGATACAGCGGTAAACTAGAGCTCTCGTTATTCGAGTAGCATGAATCGGTTAATCGATTGGCAAAAGTAGTTTTAAAAAATAGGCGACTTCACTTAGAGCCGTTTTCTCAAGTAGGGTTTGAAATTTATCTGCCCTTCAAGCACAGTTTTTCAGAACAAAAAAAAATATGAAAATTAAAAATTGTAGCTTAACAAAAAATGTTCTCCATATAACTAAGGCGCGGCCTAATGTGCAGGCATGGGCAGAGAACGAGCCCACAATGGGCAAGGTTTTCTCAATATTCACCGCAATTTGGATGTTAATGTTGACTGAGTATTAAAAGAATTTGTATCTATACTTCGGTGAATTGCATGTGACTTTTCATATTTTTTTTAAGTAAGCGACGCAAGTGTTTTATTCACGACTACCTGTGTCGCAGTCCAACGCGGTTCCTTTTAGCATTATACATACATATATTAAAAGGCTCCCAGATCTCATACGTAGTATATATGTATGTATGTATGTATATGTACCTATATGGAGCATACGCATTGACGTGCGTGGATGTGTGTACATACATACATACGTATGATACGTACCATATGTATGCAACTTGGCATAATTGCAACAAAAAGTGTTACACTTTCATGCCACACTTTTCCT